TGCTCGGCAGGGAGCCTGCTTCTCCCTCTGTCCCTCCCCCCTCTCATGTGCTCTCTCTCTCTCATTCTCTCTGTCTCAAATAAATAAATAAAAATTAAAAAAAAAAAAAGGTTAGCCTCTTACCTTCTAGGACATTTTTATTCAAGACATTATCCTAACATTATTAAAATTTTAATACACTCTGCTCTGCAAAAGTTACTTCCCTGGTCTGGTGGCTGGGGATGATGTCACAGTTGTTTATCTAGATACTTGTTATTGTCAACTCATCCACTAGCAAAGTATATATGATATTTATCAGTTTCTGCTAGTGGAAATAAGAGTTTATGGAGGCTAATATTCTGAAGGGGCAGTCAAAATCAAGAAGTCTGTAAGTAATTCATAAAAAAATATATAAAAACTGTCTTCATATTGCCTGCCTAAGTGTGTGGCAGATTCATATAACACACAGCGCCTTCTCCATCTTACTTCCTGGTTTACTGAAGACCTACATTCATTTGTCATATGAGTAAAATCCTATTTTATTTTATTATTATTATTTAAAAGATTTTATTTATTTATTTGTCAGAGAGAGAGCACAAGCTGAGGGAGAGGCAGGCAGAGGGAGAAGCAGCCCCCTCACACACACCGAGCAAGGAGCACGGTGCAGGACTTGATCCCAGGACCCCGGGATCATGACCTGAGCCAAAGGAAGACGCTTAACCAACTGAGCCATCCAGGCATCCCTAAAATCCTATTGTATTAAATAGTTTTTAATATGTTAAATAACTTTTTTTAATTGAAATATGATCAACATACAGTGTTATATTAGTTTCAGGTGTTGTACAATGTAATGATTCAACAATTTTATAGATTACTCAGTGTTCATAACAATAAGCATACTCTTGATAATAAAATGCTATTTTTTTTATTATTTTTAAAGATTTTATTTTATTTATTTGACAGAGACACAGCGAGAGAGGGAACACAAGCAGGGGGAGTGGGAGAGGGAGAAGCAGGCCTCCCGCCAAGCAGAGAGCCCAGTGCGGGGCTCGATCCCGGGACCCTGGGATCATGACCTGAGCCGAAGGCAGTCGCTCAACGACTGAGCCACCCAGGCGCCCCTAAAATGCTATTTTAAATAGCATTTAATCTAGGATTTTATTTTTAAGATTTTATTTATTTATTTGATAGAGAGAGTGAGGGTGCACAAGCAGGGGGAGTGGCCGGCAGAGGGAGAGGGAGAAGCAGACTCCAGACTCCCGCAGAGCAGAGAGCCCGACGCGGGGCTCGATCCCAGGACTCCAGGATTATGACCTGAGCCGAAGGCGGACACTGAACCGACTGAGCCCCCCAGGCGCCCCAACCCAGGATTCTTTTAACAAACCTTTCATGTCATAGTAGGTGCTTAAAAGATGCTATCTAGAGACATACTAGATGCTTAAAACATTGCTTTTGCTAGCCAGATTTCAATTTTATTAAACAATAAAACCTCTATAAAAGATTTATTCCTAAGCCCCCACAGGTATGGCATCTGCCTTGTCTAATGAAAGTATTAGGTTTGGATTCTGTATTTTTGCTGTCTGTTGTGATGTCCTGCTAAGATCTTAGTGGGATGGATATGGGTTGGACCAAAGCAGTTTGAAAACCATGGCACAGATGGGGTAGAGATGATGTGGGGATAACATGAGAGGTTGGGATTTAAGAAGAATATGGGAAAGTGGAGATGAATAGGAGTGAGGTAAGAAAGGAGAGGAAAAGGAAGATGGAAAAGGTTAAGGTAAGGCAGCCTAGTGACAGAAATCTCAGCGAGCTGCCTGTTGGAGCTATTGTGTAAAGAATGGGAAACGTGGGCACCTGGGTGGCTCAGTCGGTTGGGCGTCTGCCTTCAGCTCAGGTCATGATCCTAGGGTCCTGAGATCAAGTCCTGCATTGAGCTCCCTGCTCAGGAGAGCCTGCTTCTCCCTTTCCCTCTGCTGCTCCCCCTGCTCATGGGCTCTCTCTGTCAAATAAATGAAGTCTTTAAAAAAAAAAAAAAAAAAAAGAATGGGAAATGTATTAGGACTGGTTTTGGCTACAAATTTCAGAAAAACCTAATAGCTGCTTAAAAAACAAGAGAAAAGTTTTTCTTTCTCAGGTAAAAGAAATTCAGAGCTAGGCAGTGTGGGACTAGGGTGGTAGCTCCCCAGTCATTGTGGTTCCAGCTTCCCATCTTCTTGCTCTGGCATTGTATCAGTCAACTGTTTTTACAGATACGCCACATAACAGATAACTCTAAAAACTCAATAGCTTCAAAGCACTTATTTTTCACTCATGGGATGTGGCTCTGCTAAACTTGGCTGGGATCAGCTGAGCTTGGCTTGATTCCAGGTTATAGTTGGGTTCGGAACTCTTCCATGTGTCTCCTCATCATGGGACCAGCAGCTACTGCACCATATTTTTCTCAAGGCAGATGGCAAAAGCAAGAAGGCAAGCCAAACCACACAAGCATATTTAAAGCTTCTGTTTGTGTCATGGCTCCTAACATGTCATTGTCCAAAACAAGTTCAGACCATGCCCAGAGTCATTAGAGCAGAGAGGTATACTCCTGTCATATTATCTCGGCAACAACAGGAAGGAAAGGAAGGATTATAAGAAAATAAAACAATCTGCCACGGCCATCCTAGCATACTGCCTCAGGGCCCAGTTAGGCCCCCTGACCTCCAGCTATCTTCTTATATTCTAGCTAAGTGGAAAAAAAAGCAAAGAAGGAAATACCCTTGCCCTTTAAACATATTTTCTAGAAATTGCACATATACTTTCTCTTACATATTAGTCTTCCACTCTAAAGAATATAGTCTTAATTCCAGGCATTTATTTGCATAGCTTAAAACTGGGGGGTCTGTTATTAAGGAGGAAGAGGAGAATAGATATTGGGATTGATGACTAGCATTCTTTGCCACAGGAAATTTGCATAATTTTGTGGGGAAAAATAAGGCGAAGGCGTATTTATAGGTGCAGCAAGGTGTCAGCAGTTAGCCTTCTAGATGTTATTGCTTTCAGTTATTTTTCACCCTCTGTGATCTTTAGACTTAAGGAATGCACACAAAAGGACCTCAAGAAATTGCTGCTGAATTATTTTTGCTGTTTTAAACTACTCTGAAAAATTCACTTTTAAAAACGCACACCTTGGGGCACCTGGGTGGCTCAGTCGTTAAGCGTCTGCCTTCGGCTCAGGTCATGGTCACAGAGTCCTGGGATCGAGCCCCCCATCGGGCTCCCTGCTCCATGGGAAGCCTGCTTCTCCCTCTCCCACTCCCCCTGCTTGTGTTCCTGCTCTCACTATCTCTCTCTGTCAAATAAATAAAATCTTTAAAAAAAATAAAAAATAAAATAAAAACACACACCTTTATTAATTTTACAGTCTAATTTCAGGATTGGGTAGCTAACACAGTCAGATACACTCTGAGTCCCTGCCTATATAAAAGGCTGTGGCAGGGGCGCCTGGGTGGCTCAGTAGTTAAGCGTCTGCCTTCGGCTCAGGTCATGATCCCAGGGTCCTGGGACCAAGCCCTGTATCGGGCTCCCTGCTTGGTGAGCCTGCTTCTCCCTCTCCCTCTGCTGCTCCCCCTGCTTGTGCTCTCTCTCTCTCTGTCAAATAAATAAATAAAATCTTTAAAAAAATAAAAGGCTGTTGCCAATATAACATATCTTTTCTGTAACTTGTTATACAGTTTCTTAGGAAGGAGTTTTGCATATTATACCTAAAATTTCAGTAGATACTTTGTAGACTCAAATTGTCCAGCAGAGTGTTGGAGTACTTTATACTTGAGTTTTTTATTCGACGTGAAAAAATTTTTTAACTTTTCATTTTGAAATAATTTCACACTTCAGGTTGCCGAATAGTACAGAGAATTCCCTTATACCCTTTACCTATACTTCCCCAATTATTTAGAGTCTATGATTTAAGTGATTTTATTCCAGCTGTATATTTAGGATCAACAGATTTTGGCAATAAAGGATATTTAATATTAATTCATAATGTAGCATCAACCTTATTCAAAACATGGATGGTAATAAGTTTTGTTATCTTTTAGCCATCTGCTTAGTTTGGTACAATAGAGTCTTCAAGCAACTGTCAAGAAAGGCATACAGCACCCTAGCACTTTTTTCTTGAAGAGAGGGAGAGTTCTCCCTTTTTATTTTTTAATTTAAATTCAATTAATTAACATATATTATTAGTTTCAGAGGTAGAGTTCAGTGAGTTCTCCATTTTTATTTGGAAGTGTCAGACCCATGGAAATATTGAAAGAATACCTCAATGAACACCTGTATACTTTCCCTAGATTCACCAGTTGTTAACATTGTTTTACTGAACTCTTTGGAAATAAATTGCAAAAATCACGACATTTCACCCCTAAATATTTCTGTAATGTTATCTCCAAAGACCAAAACAAAACAAAACAAAAGTCCTAAAGTTTTCCTAATCAACAACAATGCCATTATTCTATTA